AGGTGTAAACTGTAAATTAATAATTGCCTCACACATTATTTATTTTTTCTATTTTTTTTAGTTCCAATGACAACACTTATTGTGTGGTCCGCAAGACGTGCCGTGTTGTCATTGATCTACCAATAATTTATTGAGGTTTTAGATATATCTTACCAATCATGAACTAGACAATCAGTTTTACAATATATCTTATCCATTTTTTTTTAATTGAGAGCAAAAAATAGAAGACTTCAATAGAGGATTTAGAGCTTACCATTAGGATCTGCAGACGAAGAAGCCATAAAATTTGCCATTCAAAGTCGCCATTGGATAGAGAGAAAAAAATATAAAAAAATAAAATAAATTAAATATAAATGGAGATAACAAATCTTACATGTAATATATATATAAAAAATTGAAATTGTTGATACAATGGTATGATCTCTAATGGAAATCAAAAAAAATTTCTATCACTGTAGCTTAATTACTTAATTCTTGTTCTTGATATAAAAAGTTATGAAATGAAATCTAAGGAAAAAGAGGAAATTGAATATTCTTTGATGTTGTTAGGAAAAGAAAAAGATGAAACACTTTTTAGCTATATATAAGAAAATCAATAATGATTAATTAATTTATTCATATAACTAATAAAACAGATTTAAATCTTTTTGTTGTCCATACCGTTCATCCAATTGTTCTCAGGCTGGAAATGAAACGCCGTTCGTTGCCATGACAATAAAGTATTGTTCCACGGGAACGCTTCACTTTTCTGATCATCGGAAACTCTCTTTTCCGACACACCGGCAAGACGAGCACGTGACTCCGTCGTGGTTTCACCATTTTTGGCTCTTGATCCGTCGTGTGTGACGATGAGAGTAACGTACAAAGCGATCAAAAGAAAACCGGAGTAGACCGCGAGATGAACTTTGATGGGTCTTCTCCGGTGGGTTTCCGGGTTTGGGTCGGATCTTGATGAGTCGAATAATGGATCTTGTTGTTGGGAAGTGAGAGGCAAGAGAGATTCGGTGCTTGCCATTTTCTGTTGTGTGTGTTTGGTTTCTTGAGATTTTGTTGGTTGTGACAGAAAATGGCAGGTCCAATTTATATAACCGAAAATCTCCAAATAAATATGAAAAATTATTGAATCATACATAGACATGTGGAGAGTCTATTAGACCATCCACATTGCACATAAAATGTGGACGTCTTTAAATAAAAAAATATTAAAAACATTCTC